TAGCTGCGCCTGGGGTAGCGCCGCCGAAGGGCTGAGTCCCCGCAAGGCCCCAGAGGCCGAGGCCGAGGCCACACGCCCCACAAGACTCAACATGGCGGAGTCCAGGTAGAGACTGAAAGCCGCAGCTCTCCCCGCCGCCGGGCCTGCAGATGCAGGGGGGGGGGTCCCGCCTCTGCCTTCGGCACGGCTATTGGCTGAAGCTGCCGCTCGTCATTCTCAGCGACGCTCCTATAGGATAAGAGGCCCGAAGCTCTTCATATATTGGTCTAAACTGGTGCCAATCTGAAACTCCTCTTTTTGATTGGTGGAAGAAACCTCCAAGCCTCGAAACCTGATTGGGTCAGGGGAATGTCAGTCAGAGCGGGTCTTTGGTGGAAGTACGTTTGAGCGAGGGGCGGGGTTCCTGTTGAACGTGGAGTAGGCTGTCTTTGACTGTCCTTGGGCCTTGAGGGAGGTGACGGCCGCGGAGGTTAACCTGGTTGCGGCAATCTGAAAGTCAGGATGGAGCCTTCTGTGGCTTCACGGCGTAGTTCCCCCCCCACACACACACACACGAGTGAGGCCGGAATTTCCAGGCGGCTCAGTTCTTTATCCTGTAAAGCCACTCAGTGAAAGAAACTAAAGCAACCCGTCCTTCCACAGACAGGTGCCCTGCATCGAGGAGACAAGGTTATTTATGACACCCGAGGGAAATACTTGGGTCCCCTAGTCACGGACAGAAATTGCCGTAACCAGGCGTGGTGGAGGCAGAACCCTGAGATTCCGAAATTTGACAGGTGTAGGCATGAGGTCCAAGAGTTGTAAGGTGGTCAACTTGAACGACTTGAGACCTCGTCTCGGACACAAAACCAAAGACCAGAAGTAATAGACGTTGGCTGTGATTCGCATGTAGGAATCCCGAAGATAAAGTAGAAAGGAAGAATGTGCCAGGGGTACGTGTGCCTGAAACCATGTCCCTTTAGTTGGTAACTAAGGTGAAAAACTTAGATAGAGAAAAGACGAGCCCAAAGCGAGGAGCCTGAGCCAGGTCTCCAAGGACTCTTGAATGAAAGCGGAAGTTAGCTTCCTCCAGAATGAAAGTCACAGAGTCCACAGCTTTCTTTCCGGAGATGTCAACTTTAGTCAGCCAGCGACACTGGTGGTGAGGTGAGAGTCTAGCAGGGAACACACATAGCTGGAGTACTGCACCAGACTACTTCCCATCGTTTTCCATTATTACTGCATGATGACAAAAGTTTCTTACTGTTTGACAGTGGATAGAAAAGGCTGTATGTAGCGCGCGTGTGTGTGTGTGTGTGTGTGTGTGTGTGTGTGTGTGTGTGTGTGTGTGCGCGCGCGCGCGTGTGCTAAGCTCCAAGTGCAGTATCTAAGCACAGAACAGACTTCCTGTGTTCGTGGTACTGGGGCGTCACACATACCAGACTCTACAAGTAAGCTATTTCTCTAGACTCACCCACTTAAACTCAAGATCCTCCTGCCTCTGCCACCCCCATCACAAGTGCTATAACAGGCATATGCCAGAACACCTGCAGAATAAAAGTACTGAGTTTGTACTCTTCTTTTGCCCCACAGCAACCCTTTTTGTTTTTTAAATGCAGATTAGGTATTTTGAGTGTTTGGGTTTAGGAGGCCAAATGATACTCTGAGATCTTGTGGGTGGGACTGGCTGTGAGCCACCTGACTTGGATGTTGGGACTAGAACTCTTGAAAGAACTGTTAACTGCTGAGCTACCATTCTAGGCCTATACCTCTCCCACTTTGGGACAGTTGGGGGTTTTGTAGTGGTTTGAATGAGAATGGCCCCCATAGGCTCACACAAATGTTTAGTCACCAGGGAATGGAAGTGCTTGAGAGGGATTAGGAGGTGTGGCCTTGTTGGAGCAGGTGTGCCACTGGGTCCACACTAGGTCGGCTCCCACCACCCTGCCACTGCTGCCTGAGAGTCAGAGTGTGGCTCACGGCCACTGCTTCAGTCCCATGCCTGTTTGCTTCCTATCAAGATGACCATGGACTAGCCTGAAATTATGAGCAAGCCCCCAGCTAAATGTTCTTTTGTAAGAGTTGCATTGGGCATGGTTCTCTTAACAGGGACATAGAGACGGGTAACTAAGACAGTCTCACTATGTAGCCCCTTGGCCTCTAATTTACTGCTATGTAAATGAGGCTGGCCTGGAACTCTGATTTCCTACTTCTCCATCCCAAGTGGGGGGGGGGGGCTGGGTTTTTCAAGACAGGGCTTCTCTGTGTAGCTTTGGAGCCTGTCTTAAAACTTGCTCTTTAGCCCAGTTGGCCTTGAACTCACAGAGATCTGCCTGCCTCTGCCTCCTGAGTGCTGGGATTAAAACATGTGCCCCGACTGCCTGCTTTATCTTTCTTACTTTTGCATGCATATATTACTTTCCTTCTTAATCCATGGCTGGCTGGGTGGCTGGTCCGGATGTCCTCCTCTCCTTGTTTATTCATTGCTCCTTCTTCCTTGGTTCTCCTTTTATTTATCCTCTCTGCCTGCCAGCCCTGCCCATCCTTGCTCCTTGCTATTGACTGTTCAGCTCTTTGTTAGGACCATCAGGTGTTTTATACAGGCACAACAATACAACTTCACAGAGTTAAACAAATGCAGCATAAACAAAAGTCACACATCTTAAAATAATATTCTACCACATAGAGCTGAAGTTTCTGTGGTTCAGATAGAATACTTAAGAAAAGCAGGAGCTGGCCAGGTGGTGGTGGTGCACACCTTTAATTCCAGCACTTGGGAGGCAGAGGCAGGCAGATCTCTGTGAGTTCGAGACCAGCCTCGTATATACAAGAGCTAGTTCCAGGACAGTCTTCAAAGCCACAGAAAAACCCTGTCTCAAATAACAAAACAAAAAAAGGAGCCAGACTAGAGTCAAACTTTGATTTTGTTGATTACTAGGTATCACCAGATAAGTAATTTCTCTGTGTATCACTTTATTCTTATATAGCAGGTTCAGTAATGGGATGACCTCACCAGCTGTTCAGAGCATTAAATGGAGTGATATATGAAAAACACTATCTGGCTTGGCAGTGGTGGCACACACCTTTGATCCCAGCACTCAGGAAGCAGAAGCAGGCGGATCTCTTTGTGGTCAGCCTGAGCTACAACAGAGAAACTGTCCCAAAGACACAAAAACAGTATCTGGTGTATAGCTCATACATGTTAGCTATTATTTGTACTTAAAAAATGTGTCTGGGTGTTCTTTTTGTTTGTTTGTTTTGTTTTTTTCAAGACAGGGTTTCTCTGTGTAGTTTTGGAGCAAGTCCTGGAACTTGCTCTGTAGATCAGGCTGGCCTTGATCTCATAGAGATTTGCCTGTCTCTGCCTCCTGAGTGCTGGGATTAAAGGCATGCCCCACCATTGTCAGGCATGTATGGGTGTTCTGCTTACATGTTTGACTTTCCTCTCTGAGGATGTCAGGTGCCCTGGGACTGGAGTTAGTTTTACAGTGCTAGGAATTGAATCCCAGTCCTCTGGAAGAGCATCCCAGTTCTCTTAACTGCTGAGCCATCTCAGATTAACTTTTAAGGGCTGGATGTCTCAGTGGGTAAGACCACTGGCTGCTCTTGCAGATGACCAGGGTTTGGTTTCCAGTACCCACAGGGAGGCTCACATGTATAACTTCAGTACCAAGGGATTTGGCAACCTCTTCTTGCCTCCTCTAGAACCAGGCATGTATGTAGTGCACATATAAACATGCAAACAAATACAATTTTTTTCTTCTGCATATATATATATATATATATATATATATATATATATATATATATGTA